AGACCCAGAACATCTTACTGCCCCTGTATAAAACTATGGTACGCCCACATCTTGAATACTGTGTACAGATGTGGTCTCCTCACCTCAAAAAAGATATTTTGGCCTTGGAAAGGGTTCAGAAAAGGGCAACTAAAATGATTAGGGGTTTGGAACGGGTCCCATATGAAGAGAGGCTAAAGAGACTGGGACTTTTCAGTTTAGAAAAGAGGAGACTGAGGGGGGATATGATAGAGGTCTATAAAATCATGAGTGGTGTGGAGAGGGCTGATAAAGAAAAGTTATTTATTAGTTCCCATAATAGAAGAACTAGAGGACACCAAATGAAATTAATGGGTAGCAGGTTTAAAACTAATAAAAGAAAGTTCTTCTTCACACAGCGTGTAGTCAACCTGTGGAACTCCTTGCCAGAGGAGGCGGTGAAGGCTAGGACTATAATAGAGTTTAAAGAGAAGCTAGATAATTTCATGGAGGTTAGGTCCATAAAAGGCTATTAGCCAGGGGATAAAATGGTGTCCTTGGCCTCTGTTTGTCAGAGGCTGGAGAGGGATGGCAGAAGACAAATCGCTTGATCATTGTCTTCAGTCCACCCTCTCTGGGGCACCTGGTGCTGGCCACTGTCGGCAGACAGGATACTGGGCTAGATGGACCTTTGGTTTGACCCAGTATGGCCGTTCTTATGTTCTTATCCTATTTATACCTCATGTTCTTCCATCCAAATGCATGTCCCTAGTGCTTATTGATTGGATCCAACTTAAAACTCTTGCCATGGGTCTGATCAGTTATTTCCACTCCCCTTTATATTTATTTGTTCAGATGACTTTACAATAAAACAGATTTTAAGACAGAAAGGACAATTATGATCATTTGGTCTGACCTTCTACATAACCCTGGCCTGAAAACAGCACCCAGTAATTCTTGCCTCCAGCCCATAATTTGGCCTGGGGAGAGAAGACAGGGGATAGAACATGCCTCTGGCCCCCAGCCTCCTGCACCGCCCCCACATCCCCAAGGTCCTGCCCTGAAGGGCCCAGGCAATGCTGGGTAAGTCTGCTAGTAAGACTATAAAGCAGAATAAAGTAAGCAATATTTAAATCCAAGACGTAAGGATCTGTCATCCTCTTGCCCTGATTTCAGAGCAACAAGGCTTATTGCTGGATTTTGACCACAGCTGTATCACTTAGCATTCACTTTCTCCTAGCCACACCACTTTGGAGTTAACAAGCGGATCAGAGCTTTAATAAAAGCTCAGGAGAGCTCAGGCTCTAGCATTGTTTGCATTTATATTACATTCCTGATCATGGGAATTGCTTGGGGACATCTGAAAGTTTTGGTTAACTGGGTGATTGAATAAGCAGAAACCCTATTAACTAACATCGGGCTACTTCAGGCTACTTGTTTTGGATAACTAGAATTTTTGGAGAAGGGGAATCTGGATAACTTAGAACTACACTGAAAAGTCAAAGTGAGGATCAGGGTCTCCCATTTTTTAAAATTTCTCTTCATTGAGAATGATTGCGACTGAACTAACTGAGGCATCTTCCCTTTCCATTCATTTAATTTATTAATTAGAACACGTACGTTCTGGGAGTGGAAGTAACTTTTAAATAAGATCATCACAGCATTCTAGGCAAGTCAACCTCACTTACTAGAAAAGCATCTCTGCAGTTTTTCATGGAACATGTGACTTGACAATGACATTTCTAAGACACCAAACTGCTTACAAACGTTTGTTGGAGGTACACCTAAGCAGTGGATCATAGCACTGTGTCTACGACAAGCCCGTGGCTCACATCTTACTAGCAGCCAGTCACAAGCCTATATGTATCTAGTGTTTCCACTTGTCAAGTAGATCTGTATTTTTCAGATAATTCATTTATATTCATCTTAAAGAAACCTATATCATGGATGGGCAAAATATGGCCCACAGTCTGAGTCTGGCCCATCAAGCTGCCAGATCTGGCCCCCAAGAACCTCCGCCAGGCTCCCTGCCTGTTCTCAGAGCAGCTCTCTGAATACTGCAAGCCTGGGGGACTGAAGAGGGGACTTCATGCGTTGCCCCCAGCCACAGCACAATCTTGCCATTCCAGAAACCAGCCAATGGCAGCTGCTTGTTTGCAAGACAGGCAGAGTGTGAAGTACCCTTCCCCTGCTGGTCTCCCAGCATTCAGAGTCACACATGGCCCCTGCAGCCATGCAAGGCAGGAACCCTGGCTGAGGAACCAGCTGGGCTGCTGGCTGGGATCCACCCAGGTAAGTGTCTCCTGGCCAGAGCCTACCTCTGGCACCCTAGCTCCTCTCTCCCCCAAGCCTTCTGCCCCCCTCCTGTACCCCATCCCATATAACCCAAACCCTCTCCAGCCCTGCTCCTGCACCTACACCCCCTTCTACATCCCTCCTCCGTGTTACAAACCCCTCCCAGACCTTGCATCCCAATCCCCTACCACAAATCACAACCCAAATCCCTACACTCCTGCCTTAGGTCACAACCTTCTCCCAGAGTCCACATCCCCTCTTTCAGGTCAGAATCCTCTCCTTCACCCATACTCCCTCCCAGATGCTGCACCCAAGTCTCCTGCCCCATGTCACAACTCCTTCTGCATCCAACCTCCATCCCAGAATCCGCAACTCCTCCATTAAGAGTGTGGCCCTTGATCACTTACTAAATACTTAAGAGTGCTCCCCCATCAGAAATGATTGCCCATCCCTGTTTATATACAGATAGGGCATGAGAAGCATGCCCGGACACCCCACATTGCACATTCCTTATTTTAACCAAAGACAACTAAGGTAACTGCTAGTTTGGAGTGCCAGGGACCATCCTTTTTTATCTGTTTCAAGAACTTTGAGAAAGTTGCCAGGGTACTATTGCTGTGGCAAGAGTCATCAGAGAATGCTGTCATACACAGTATCTCTTACTGAGTTTTCAAATCTGCGAAGAAATGTATTATTGTTAGTTTTTGTCATCCTTGGAGAGAAGCTGTAGCATAGAAGAGAGTTTCTCTGTTTTATTCTCTGCATCTGGAACAAATTCTTGGGACAGAGAATCATAGAACACTAGAACTGGAAGGGACCTCGAGAGATCATCAAGTCCAGTCCCCCGCCCTCACAGGGAAGTTTCCTGAAAACTGGATATCAGCAGGTGAGCTGAGGATTCTCAAATAAGAGATTTCCCTGTGTGCTGTCTATGACTGCCTCTGCCCCAGAACTGGTGTGCGTGGGTAGATAAAGCAAGTCATACTTAGGAGAGATCCAAACTCTGTATCAGTAGTTTATCCTCTACTAGGAAGCAGATTTGCAAGGTCCAGAATTCTGCCACCATTCAGCAGAAGGGCTACATGCTGAGGGGTCAGATTCACTGACTTTAAGGCCAGAAGGGATCATCATGGTCATTTAGCAGTGATTTTCAACCTTTTTCCATGTGCGGATCCCTAAAAAATTTCAAATGGAAGGCGCGGAACCCTTTGGAAATCTTAGGCAGTCTACAGATACCCAGAAGTTCATGCACTCATATAGTCTGATTTGAATATTGAACACCACAGAACCTTCTCAACCCAGTCCTGTAATAGACCCATAACATCTGAGTTACTGAAGTCCTCCAATCTTGATTTAAAGATTTCAAGTTCAAATCCACCATTTACTCTAGTTCACACCAATATGTAACCTTGAGAGGATGGCAAAACTCCACAGGGCGACAGCACTGACATACTCTGTTTCTGTATCCAGGAATCCTATTGAAGTAGCCAGGCAGCTACCCCACTCTCTGGTCTCTACTTAAGGCACTGGATGGAGATTTGGGAGGCTTCGGTTCAGTTCCAGACTTGGCTATAGATGCCATGCGAGCCTTTAGTGGAATCTCTTAGTACTTCTGCGCCTTGATTTCTCTAGCTGTAAAACAGGCATAGTGATCCTTGCCAATATGAAAGGCAGGTCACCAGGATAAATCAGTGTTTGCAAGACACTTGGAGGCTGCAACCCTGGGAGCCATTTTGCTACAGGAATGTACAGAAAAATCCTGCTACATTTTGGACTGCACTACTGAACATGAGATTACAGGGATTGAGATTTGTTGGGTAGCCACTGGTTCCCTACAGCCAGAATTCTGGAATTAAGATTGGAATATACATCCAAAATAACCCATTCGTATGTTAATGGGAATGACAGGTCTAGATTAATGCACCCCCAGTTTCAGATTGATATTTTTAAAAATCAAGGCATTGGGTTTCTCTCACCTGTGCATCCACCAATCTAGAGAATCAAGTTCATCAGGCTGGGCTGACCAGCAATATGGTTTTCTGGGGGGGGTGGCTGATAGGTACTTTGAACTCTTACCTGTCCCTCAGAATTATGGTAGACTCAAGGAGATGGGAAGCAGCCCAAATGCTCAGCTTCTCAGGCCATGGACCCTGCACACAGCTGAATGCTAGCAGAATACATACATAACTGGAAGGCACCGAACTGTCTCAATGGCTTCAACTTTGCCATTTCCCCTACTATCAAAGTTCTACCTAGTGAGGGGAAAAAAAACCCCTTGGCCAACTTTCATTCCAGGGTTCTAGGTTTCAGTGACAGAAACCTAAGGAGACTGGTCCTTCTAATAAAAAAAATTAATTCCCTTTCAAATACAGTTGACAGCTCCTAGGTGGTAAGACCTGGGTCTCTCCACAAGAGCTTTCAAGGATGCTGTGCTGTGTATGAAGAGAAAGGCAGACTCTCTTATGTCTATTGCTCCACCACCACAGATCTCCCTGCCTGCTTCAAAGCTAGTGTCAGATTTCATTAGCACAACTCAAGCTTTTGTCTATCTCAAGACACACAGATAACAACCTATCGGTGGAGATTAACAACAAGGGGCCCAGTTTTGCCACTTTTACTCATGCTGAGCAGAACCTTGCATTGCAAATCATCCCCTCCTTCCAAGTTCTACTCAATGTAAAGATCTGGCCTTAAATTAGCAGTAAATACACTTTTTGGCTTATAAGGCAAGTTCAAAATTTGCTTACCATCTCGGAAGGACTGCATGGACTCATCTCCCCAGGCAGGTGGGAACGGGGATAAAGGAGACCGTGGAATGCTGCATTCAGACATAGAAGTCATGTTTTTTCGGTGTCCAAACCCATGCATCTCCCTCTCTCGGTTTGGGGATGAAGGCTCCATTCCTAATGCAGACTGCAGCATAGGGTGTTCGGATGATTTGGCCAACAACTCCTTTAAGATGTTAATTGGGGAGATGGTCAGCTCCCAGTTGGTGATACCGAAGTCCCTCAGGTGGGCTCTGGCATGGCTGGACAGACCGGCACGTGTGTCAAAACCAGCCCCACAGAACTCGCATCGCATTAAACTGAAAGTACTTGGGTCAAAGTTGGCAACTGCAAAAAGAAGGACAATTTGTCAGTATCATCCAGGAACAGCTAACCAATATTAAAAGCAGCTAACAAATATTTCCAGATGTAGGAAGCCTGAGGCAGGACTTGACTGCACATAACATGGTAAAAGCCATAGCCAGGTAGTAATGCCAAAACAGAAAAGCTTAACCAGATCAAAAAGCCATGAGTGGATGCTGTATTGTGATGGGAGATTCCAAGATTCAGGACAGCTACTATAATATACATACCCATCCTCAGTGGGAGGAATTAAAAAATCGTGGGGGAAAAAAAGAAAATAATAATAATAAATTGAATACATACTACCTTTTTTCTTCTTCTTTTGGAAGGAAAATTTTTGCTCAATAGCTTTCACTTCTTCTGCTGAGATGAAATGACGGACATTGTAGCTCACACCCACCCTGTTCAGGTGGCCCCGCACATGGTTGGCTAAGCCAATCCCATTGTGGAACCTGTCAGGACAGTATGGGCATTTCCTCTCTTCGTTCTTCAGCATGGGTGAGTCTGTATCCAAGAGGTCATCTAGCTCTAGGGAACCCTCTAGAGGGGAGTCAAGCAGGAGTATATCTAAGGGGAGGGCCTCATCCATCAGGAACTCCTTGGAAGGAACTATTTTCTTCTTGTACAGCTTCCCCTTTGGCTGCTTTGCATTTTGGGGATGAAGGTTCATTTCCTCCAGAAGGACAATGGGGACCATCTTCCGTAGCTGATACTGCTGTTCTTCTGATGCTATAGAAGAGTCTGTTACTTTCAAGGTGTCTCTGAAAGTTCTCTTCAGGTCCAAAGCAGACTGAGGAATTGCAAAAGGTTTGAAGCTTCTATTTTCAGTTAGATCTATTTCTGTGGTTAAAGAAATTTCTTCTTCCATGCTCCCAACATCATTTGCTGATGCCCATTTGTGCCTCCATTTGAGCTCCTCCAGTCCCCCAGGAGGGCTCCTGACATTGCCCCCCTCAATCTCAAGGTGGTGTACTGTGCTTCTTTTTTTTATTTGCTGCAAGGCAAAAGGAGAATACATTTTTGCTGAGGTAAGGGTGGACAGCCCTAAATTTTTATGCAGGGCACTGTATGGACCTGCTTTCCTTGCATGAAACCCTGACGTCTGGAAGTCCTTTTTATTAGTCCCATTGCTTTTACTAAGTCTCTGGTGACCCATGGCAAAGTTATGGACAGATTCATAATGGGATGTGCTTTCTCGGTGAGGCTGGGGAAACAGTCTTTCTGCTTTTCCAAAATAATCCGTGTCTGAAAATCGGCCTGGCTTAGCAGGGCTGTAGGCATCTCGGCTAGTTCCAGGCTGATTAGAATCCTCTTCAAAAGACTCTGTGTCCCAAGAAAGATGGGAATGGGCATATTTCATGTGTTCCTTTAGGATATTTTCATTGGGGGCAGGGAAGCTGCAGAGCATGCAGGTGCTGAGTCCTTTACTGCTGCTGTGTGGCTGCACCTGCACAGGGGGGTGTTTATTTGGTGTGAAGTGTTTGTAGATGTTGTGCACCGGGCTGTCATGCATTTCTCCACTGCCAAAGAGATTCACATTCTTCATGCCTTGGTCCTTCCTCTCCTTGACGTGCATCTTGGCATGTTGGACGAAAATTTTAGAGGAGTTGGTTCCAAAGACACATTTGGGGCACTGCAGCCGGGCTTCCCGACCTTCATCTGGAAACTCATTGAGCTTCTGGATTTCTTCAATTATTTTCTCCCTGGACTCCTGATGAAGCCTCTTGTGCTGCTCCAGAGAGCCAGAGTCCCCAAATGCCCATCCACATTCATTACAGGAGAACTGACACTGACCTCCAACTGCATCTCTGTGTTGGTCCTGCCCTGGTCCCCGGTTATGCTGAAGCATGTGATCCATCAAGTGTTCCTTTTTCTTAAAGTAAATGCTGCATTCAATGCATGTGTACACAGTGGGATCCTCCTCTGGGCCAAGCTCGTCCTTGCCCTGCTCCTCTAGCAAGACATTGCACATGTATGGCCTCATCTCAATGTCATAGGAGCTGCAGGGAGTCTGTTCTAGAGACATCACTGGGATTCGCTCCACAGAGTCTTCTGCATTTACTGTCCATGACTGTTTGCTAACAGTAAGATCTGCATTTATCTGGAGACTTGGCTTTTGCAATGTCCACTCTGCAGCATTACGAGAACTCAGGTCACTCAAATGGGCCTCCATTGCCAGACCCCTCCTGTGCAAGGATGCACTCTCCACAGTTTTCAACTTGCTCAAGGCTGGGTTTAGCGTTTTTCTGAATACTGGCAGAATCAATGGACTAGGCACTTCGTGAATAGCCTGTCCTCTGGTGGATAAGTTAGTTGCTACATCTGATGGCTTATTTATATCTTTATAGTGAGGACTTCGACTCTCATTGTGCCCTGAAATCCAGTCAAACCTCTGAATGCCCTTCTTTTTTTTATCTAAGTGCTCTTTGCTGAAGGCTTCAAGTTGCTTTGGTTCATTTTTATGATATTTTCCCTCTCCGCTAACAGAACATACTCCAGCACAGGGTATGGAAGTTTCTGCTCTGGCCTTGTGAGTGCTCAAGGCCTCAGAGTCACTCTCCAGTTGATCAGTGTCTATCTGCAAAGTATTCACTCTCTCGGACTCCACTGCAAACGTGGACTCCCTTGGGTGTGAAGGATTTACATTCTGTCCTTCCTTGGAGCCTGCTGAGTCCTTCAAACCCGAGAGTCTTTCTAAAGTGCTTTCTTCGCTTAAGTCACCTCCTCTTGTCTCTAGAGTGGAACAATCCCATGATG